GAATGCTAGGTGCCTCAAGATTCAGTCTTGTAATCCTCAATAATTTGTGGCTACATGTAATGTCAGAACAAATTGTTTTCTGTCTTGAGGAGTCCTTGGTCCTCTCTAAGCTTGGTTGTTTTCTTACAGACCTTTCATTACCCAAACTAGGTAACATCATCAGTGTTCAAATTATTTTCTGTCTTGTTCGATACAGATTGAACAGCTTCCCTGGCTTGACTACGAAGACCAAAATGCTTTTGCAGGTGGACCAATGTATTAATTCACAAGCCAATTTTTAGATCCAGAAGGGAGAGGCTTCAGGTCCACATAAGGTTCCACATATGAAGAGTTTATACAGGTCTAATGGTTGCCAACCGGTTCTCTGTCAGTTAGATCAGGAAACTTGATTTCTCCTGCTCTGCCCTGATAGCTTTGTCTTTCCTGCTAATGGGCAACATTTTGTGTTTGACAGCAAAGGAAATATGTCATTAGTTCTTAATAATCAACACATATGAAATCTAATAATCATGAGCTCTTTCATCAAGGGTGTAATGTTATGTGTGTCTCTGAGTGAAGGGAAATCAAAGATCATTTGTGCAGGACTGTCCATCATCATCAGAAATGTTTCTCATATCCTGGACTTGCCTATTGCATGAAACCTTAAATGTACCTTTTGGCTTTTGTGTAGCGTGTTGTGTTTTAAGCGTTAGTAGGACGTCTGCAGAAAGCTATTGGTAGCATATTCTGCAGACTCACAGGGCATAGCTCAGGATGATACAGAGTAACCTCCTTGGGAATTAAAGGTAAAAGTAAAGGTTTCCCCGGTCCAATTGGGTCTGACTAGGAGGTGGTGCTCATTTCTATTTCTTAGCCGAGGGAGTTGGGGTTGTCCAAAGACTCTTCCCATGGTCATGTGGCCAGCATGATTACATGCTGAGGCTCATAGAACACTGTTAGCTTCCCATTGAAGTGGTACCTATTTATCTACTTGCATTTGCATGCTTTCGAACTGCTAGGTGGGTAGGAGCTGAGGCAAATAATGGGAGCTCACCCCATCAGGTGGCGCTCAGGTCTCGAACCCAGGCTGTCAGGGTTCCAGCTGACAAGCTCAGCATCTCAATTTATATCCTTTCTTTTACTGGGGTCTCAAGGCAGAGCACATTTGTTCCCTCTTTTGCCCTACAACACCGAGGAACAAAGTAACCTAAGTGAATCACTGCAGTTGTTGAGTTAGTAATACGGCTGCTAAGTGAATCTATCTCCCCCATCATAGATATGAACCAATTGCCAAGCATCTGAATTTTGATCATGTGACCATGGGGATGCTGCAATAGTCATAAGTGTGAAAAAATGGTCATCAGTCACTTTTTTTTTTTTCAGTGCCATTGTAACTCTGAATGGTCTAAACGTTGCAAGCCAAGGACTACCTGCACTTGAGATGCGATGCAAGTACAAAGTTTACTCTTGGAACTGAATTCATTTATCCTGTCCTCAGATCCCAGAAAAAGGCCTTGTAGGGCAGCGGTCTCCAACCTTTCTGGCACTAGGGACTGGTTTCTGTGGAAAACATTTTTTCCACAGATGGGGGCGGGGGAGTGGGGATGTTTTCACACACAACCTCGATCCCACACACGGACAGATAAAGCTTCACTCGCTTATCCTATCCGCTGCTTATGTGGCCTGGTTCCCCTCAGGGCGTGGAGGTGGGGACCCCTGTTGTTGTTGGGAAGAAAGAGGTGCCGCTTGGCTTCTGTGTCTTTTTGGGGAACCCAAATCTCACCTGGCTTTTGTGCAAAGGGTTAAGAAGACGCCAACAAGGTTGCATCTTCTTCCAGTCCTGGTCTTTCTAAAAAGAGAGTCAAATTGATGCATTTAAACTCTTTCTACGTTCTTCCTCCCTGCCAGCCTGTTTGTGATCCTGTAAATAAAAGAGACTCAAGTGAGTGTGAAGTCAGTGCCTACAAATGCTGCCTTCAAAAGAGCTGGGGGGAAGAAGCCTGAATAATTCAGCCAAAGCAGAGGAGAATTTAAACAACTCGCTCCTCACGTCTTAACACAAGAGAAATACTGTAGCTTTCCAGATGTAGCTTTCAGTTGCCGCTACTCTCTCAATCTTTCTCTCTCTCTCCCTCTCCCTCTCCCTCTTTGTGACGCAAATCCATGCAAGCAACTGGCATCACCAGAGAGCTGATGCACTGAGATTCTGACTTGACTTTGTCTCTGCACAGACATGAAACTGGGACAACAAAATGATTTGGTGGAGTTCCAGAGAGAGGTGGAGAGATATTGATGGTGTAAGACAGGGGTATCTAACCTTGGCAACTTTAAGACTTGTAGACTTCAACTCCCAGAATTCCTTAGCTAGCATGTCTTAAAATTGCCAAGATTGGACAGCCCTGGTCAAAGAGGTCTCAGAAAATACTTACCTTCAACTCTCAGAAAGTGGGATGGAAGAAATAGGACAATCTCCTTTCATAGTCCCTGTTCATATATTCATGGAATAAAGATTGGCCAAGATGAAGTATTGGGTTGCATTTAAGCCTAGGGTCTTCAAATTTGGCAAGTTTAAGACTTGTGTGGACTTCAACTCCCAGAATTCCTGAGCTAACATGACTGGAGGAGGGAATTCTGGGAGTTGAAGTCCACAAGTCTAAAAGCTTTCAAGTTTGAAGACCCCCGACTTAAGCTCTTTTCTCCAGTCTGGAGAATAACAGATTTTAGAGGATTACAATACCCAGGATCCCCAGCCCTTGTGGTCTCTTCTTTGATGTTTTTCTAAAGTAAGAATTTGGAGAAAGCGTTAGACTTTCTCTTATCTGTGGTTTGTACAATATTTAATACACTCAACTGTGGTTTATTACTGCACATAAACAAAGTCATGTTTATTCTGAGTTGAGGACATAACTAGAGAGAGGATAGTAAAGGCAGAAACCTGAGTTTAAAGCCCTAGTTAGCCATGAAGCTCACTTTGGATGAATTGCTGCCTCACAGTAGCTCCTATGTCATAGTTGTGATACTATCAAGAGTAAGGAAGATAATCTTATACACCTTGAATCTCAATGCAGATAAATAAGTAAAATAGGTATCTGATTGGTTACTATGATAACCAGAAGCCTAGGCTAGGTTGGCAATTTATATTACCTTTCTGGATTTATGATGACATACATTTACGTTCCACCTTGGTCCTAAAGATCATGATCAGGAGGGTGGCCTGAATTCAGAGAGAATCAGAGTTTGCAGGGGAAGCCTTCACAAAGGAAAGATTTTGCAAAAATTAAAATGGTTGTGTGCTCCTTCCTCCTCTTCTCCCCCTTCCCGAAGGCCTCTGTATTAGTGTGCTGTTCCTTGTTCTTTCCGCCGACTTCTGTTTTGACATGTGAGTAGGAGAGAAAGAAAAGAAAGTATACTTTTAGAAACCTCCCCTGTTTTATGAGGCTGGACTTAAGAATGTGCACTTTAGATCCAGGTTTATTGCCTGCGTTAACGGCTCTGATAATTTGAATGAGACTGCAATAACCATCAATCCTGTTTTTTTAATGGATTGTAGCTAAAATAAGCATATGGGTGAGGAATGCTCAAATCCCTGGGTTTCTAACAAGGTTTTTTATTGGAAAGAAACAAACCCAAAAGAATGGTTGATTCTTCATTACAAAAAATGGGGGTGTTTTTTTTTTTTTGGTGCCCAATATATATGGCACGAGAGACAGTTTGGCATAGTGGTTAAGAAGGCATCAGGGTAGAAACCAGAAGACTGTGAGTTTCTAGTGCCTTCTTGGGCAAGAAGCCAGCCGGGTGACCTTGAACCAGACACTTACTCTTAGCCCTAGGAAGAAGGCAATGGCAAACCAATTTTTAAAAAGCCCTGCCAAGAATACTGTGGAGATTTGTCTCTAAAAATTGGACATAAGTGAATGGAAGAAATTTTTTTTAAAAAATGTAGTATTAAGTAATAGCGCTAATCTTGATTTTCTCATAAAAACTTCCTAACTGGGACTACAAGAACAGACCCTTCAAACCCTCTGCTGCCATCCAGTGGTAGTCTGGGTGTTTGCATACCAAATCTGCTAGCTCTATATAGGTAGTCCTTGATTTGCAACAATTCACTTAGTGACTGTTCGAAGTTACAACGGCACTGAAAAAAGTGACATGGCCATTTTTTTAGACTTATGACTGTTGCATGGTCACATGATTCACCTTCAGATGCTTGACAACTGACTCACACTTATGACGGTTGCAATGTCCAGAGGGTCATGTGATCACCTTTTTCAACCTTCTGACAAGCAAAGTCAAGGGGGAAACCAGATTTCACTTAGCAACTGCAGTGATTCACTTAACAAATGTGGCAAGAAAAATCGTAAAATGGGGCAAAACTTGCTTATAGCACATTTCTCACTTGGGCTCAATTGTGGTTGTAAGTTGAGGACTACCTATATAGCAATAGTAAGTCCAAACATGCAATAGAAGCTGACCAGCAATACCTGTAATCCTTTATGTATAATATCAGATACATACAGGTAGTTTTCTACATATGAATTTGAAGTTATAACAGACTGAACAAGAGTTATTTATGACCTTTCCTCAACTGCTGCACCATTCCTGTGTTCTCATGACTGCATTTCAGACTCTGGACCACTGGCTACGACTGGTCGCAATGACAAGTGATCACATTTTGTAACTTTTTCAGCAAAACAAACAAAAAAACCCCCACTCATCAGAGAAGATGGGTTTGGACACATGATTCACTTAGCAACCTTCATTAGCTGCAGCTGGGAACACAGTGTATAAAAAAGGCAAGCTGCATGCAGCAAGCTGTTGGGAGCAAATGTGACTTTATCTTATATCATCGTGGCTTATCTATGTTCCTGGCGTCTTCCCAACTGTGTGAGTTTTGCCATGCTTTCAAGTTTGAAATTCCTGCTCCTGCCCTGCCAAACTAATTACTTCAGTTTGGTTTGTTTGGATTTTAAGCTACAGTTTGTGTGTACCTTGTTTTGGACTTGATTCTCTGCAGCCAAAGGCTGTTCCTGGGAGAGTTTTTCTCCAGCCAGAAGGTAACCTGGACACTGGGGGCAAAGTTGGAGATAATAAAGGGACTCTATTGCTTATCTGACTGTGTTGCCTTTGTGCCACGCCCCAGGTCATTCCAAGTCCAGAATTCCCATCTTAGCATTAACTGACATGTGGAAGAGGTGACCAGGTTGAGACCAAGGGAGGGATCAAACACACCATCAGTCTCAAGTACCTTCGTGCCCCACAAGAGATCTAAGTTCACCCCACCTTTAATTCTCCCTCGAGCCGCTCGCTCGGAGCATCCAGAGAGTGGGATGTGCTTCTGAGTGACTCTTGTCTACCACCAATTTGCTTTGATCATTAGTAGTTCAGATTCTTATAGGAAGCTTAAGTTTGGAATAAACCTTTATATTCATTTGTACTGCCTGGATTTCCTGATTTCTGTGGGGCTTAAGAAATACATAGTGATTTTTAGTTTTGTTGATAAAGTTGCATTCTTGTAGCACCTCTTCTTGCTGATTTTTGGAACTTACCAAAAGCCCTTCCCACTCAACTACTATATGCACTGCTTAGATGATTATCTTATTATCTATGTTCACCAATGCTCAAAATGACATGTATTTCCTAGAAGGTATAGGTTGCTTCTTGAGAAGCTCTCACCAGTGGCCTTAGCCATCCTAGAAAGCATGGATGTTGCGTGGCCTTCACAACCCTTATATTTTTGTTAGCGATGCGAAGTTGATGGCTGCGTGGGATGAACTAACCTATATTATTAGCCTGCACCATAATTTCGGTTCTTTGTGTTACATTTCTGGAATGTGTTAAAAGCTCACTTACCTTTCTCCTGCCTGCCCACTTGCCCGCCGTTAATATAACTACTCAGAAAAGATTTGGAGCACAGAGAGAGGGAGAGAGCTCTTTCTTTAACACCTTTTTCCAGTATACCAGGAAGTGTTAATTTGAAACCATCTATTAAAAAAAAGGACTTAACTGTGTTCACTGTTCTTTGCAATTACGTCACATGCAGTGTATGAAGGGAGAATGGCAAGCTATCAATTCTTTAGCAACTGTTTTACATTAGGGCTAGTAAAGGTTGCTCTGAAAGATTATTTGCTTCTCCCAGCCTTTGAATACATGAAGTTAAACATGCATTTCTTTGTAATCTAACAAAGGACTTTGTGGGACCACATTCATATCTGGGTAAGTAAACACCTCCATTAGAGTAGGGAGGAAGAAATTGTTTGTTGTTGTTCTCCCAGTGATTGATATTGAACATGTAAGCAGAACCAGACTTGTCTATCGGAAATGCGCATACACACATATACCTATACCTACACCACCCCCATCTCTATCTCTACCTCTATCTCTATCTGCCAAGGAAGCTGCATGGATTTGTAGAAACTGTTATTTTCGCCAATATCAAATATAAATTATCTTCAGGCATGGAAAAGTAACTCATATATCTTGACTAAAAGCAGCCAATGGATTTAACCATGGGAATTTTAATAGAAGAGAATATTTGCAGCTCAGGGTTGAAGAGAGGGGTCCCTGGTGCTTTCAGAGCTTGGTGGTTTTCTTGCAGACATTTCATTACCCAACTAGATATCCTCACTGCTCCTTTTTCATGTGGTTCAAAGAATTCCAACTGATTGGTATCAACTGTATCATAGTTGAGGCCTTTCTGTAGCACATTGTGTTCTGTGATAGATAGTTGGTGGCTGGATATGCTGACAACCCATTTGGGCTCAAGTACCTCTTTGCTTCTGATGACATACCCTAGTTGGCTAATGAAATGTTTGTTAAAAAATAACAAGTTCAGAGAGTACCAAAGATTCTAGACTGGAGTTTTCTCCAATGGTCTTTTTTCAAAATAACATTATTGTTGTATTCCCATATATTAATTTATCTCTTTAAGTGGAGAAATTAATAGGAAGGAACCTCATTTGCTAGATAATTCCAGCTACAGTGGTGGTGGTGAGGTGGTGGAGTAGACTCTGGATTTTCAGATGTAGATGTAAGAAGTAAAACTTTTTATCTGTGCAACAGGGTATTCAAAGCATGACCTAGTTACGTATTTCTTGTTCTGCTAATTCATGCAAAACATAGAGGGAGAGAAAAGAGCTCTCGTTTCCTGAAAATAAAGTTGGGGGTAGTCTGCCTTTCCTTGATTTACTCTCAGAAAATGTCCAGAAAACTGGAAAACAAAGGAATATAGTACTTCGAAATAGTCAAAGGCATAAATGCATAAAACCAGTGAAAGGACTGAGGTAGTTCAAAACTGCAAGTGAAATTGACTTCTTGAAAAAGAGAGGAAAGGATCAGACCAAGATGTTGTTACTTATCGAGCAGGCGCCCCCAACCCGCCAGGCCAAGAATGGGCCATGGCCTATTCAAAACTGGGCTGTGCGAGCAGCAGGCCGGTATGCACATGGACACACAGCTCCACTTGCATGAGTGGAACTGCACGTGCGTGCCGGCCCACTGCTTGTGCAGCCTGGTTCCCTCCCCCCCCCCCCACCTAATTCAGTCAGTCCACCAAGCCACAAAGGTTGGGGACCACGATTACAGAGGATCGGCTTTTGAATTGGTTTTTAAATTCCAGTGATGAAGCTACACACAGCCAGGGAGGTCAAAGCCATTCAACTTTTAAGAATTGTTACAGATACGATCTGCAGGGAAATTCTGGCACTTCTGCATTATTGGATTGCAGAATAACTACGTTGGCTTCTGTTGTTTCTGTATTGGACAGATTGGTGGCGCTGTTGTGGGAATATTACCTCGAGTCCAGGATTATGTATGGTGTGGCTGGGGGGGTTGTAGTAGCAACTGGAATTCTTAAGATTCGCAGTTTGTGAACTTTACTTTGTTCCCTGGCGTTGCTCTGATAGTATTTCTTTTCCCCTCCGCTTTCTGTTTTCTTTTTCTTTTTTAAAAAATTATTGCTTTACTTGGAAATAATTTTCCTCCAGTGGGAATTTGCATCAAAGCAAAGAATGCAGAATTTGGTAATCAGCATGCAGAGGAAGGAAGGAAAGGTGGAGTGAGGGGGGGAAAGAGAGATGTTTAGGAGAGATTTAGCTGGTCCAATTGCTGGCTTGTCATTTCCCCTTCTTCGCTCCTCCTGAAGTGATGGCTTGGAGAGGCGAGTGGGCAATTTGTGTTCCACCTTTTGGATTGTGCAAGATTGATGAACGAATGGACATGAACCAAAATAGCTGCAAAGGCACGTGCTCCTTTGGAGTTCCCAGAGGCCTTTTCTGTTCTGTGTCAGTGGTGCATCTGAATACCATATGGCACCAAGCAAATGTTCCCAGACATTTCTTCTAATGGGCAAAGCAAACATCACGTTCTTGGAAATTTCCATGCCCTTCTTACTGTTACTAAAACAGTAACCATGCCAGTGTAGCAGTCAAGTGGGTTTAAAAATGCAGATGCTATTGTCCCACTCCCACTTACTTTCTTTTTTAAAAAAATAACTTTATATTTATTTTACATGATTCGTGACAGAGATGCATCAACACACACACACACACACACACACACACACACACACACACACACGGATTTTCCTCCCAGCACAGCCTTTTTTCCATATTTCAAAACAATCAACTTTTTAATGGGTGAGTACCGTACGTTCAATTTCTTTAAAAAGAACCTTGAAGTTGTGCATGAGAGAAAATTTACCGTACTTACTGGAATTCTTTCATAGTTCCTAAAGTTCTCTGTTGTACAATTTTGTGTGTGCATCATGTGCATTTAGGAAAGGGCTGCTGCCTGGTTGGAGAGATGACTATCGAAGATGTGATTTGGGGCAATTGGCAGAAAATAATAGATAGAGCGTATGGTTTGGCTTTGGAGGGGAGAAAGGAATAGGTGGTCCTTGATTTACAACTGTAATAGAATCAGCCCATCACATCTGTAAGTCTATGATGATCATGAAATAGGCCACCCACATGACTGATGTGATATTAAGACCTTTTTTGCAACATTTGTTAGGTGAACCCAATGTTCGCTATGGGCCACTTTGCTAAAAACCAGAAACAAATGTCATTTTTGGCAAAAACATTGTAAATGCAGTCATGTGACCATAGAGAGTAGGGGTAGCCATTGGACCTTTGTAACTGGGTTGCAAGTATCTTTGGGGGAGTGTCCATTGTAACTTCAAATGGTTGCTAAACAATTGGTCATAAGTTGAGGAGTATCTGTAGGCTAACACTTACTGCCCATTACCACACTCTTCCCCTGGTCTACTATAGCTCCTAATACTGTTCCACTTCTACTCCTTGTGAGTCCCACTGCTGGAGTAGAGAATCCCTTACTGTTAGCCTTAGGCTGCTTCAGCTTTTATTTCCATAAACAAACAAAAGCTACCTTCTCTTTCCCTTTCTCTTCATACAAACATTCCCACACCAACAACTCTAGCCGCCTCTTGTTTAGCTTTCATAGCCACCTGTTGTTGGACTTGCTATGGAGAGGTCTCAAAGGACCAAGGCACCAGGAGCTCAACTGCTGGCCATTTTGCAGGCAGCCTGCCCTCTCACACGTTGGAATGCACAAGGCCCTTGTTCTGAACCCAAAGAGCCCACCACCCAGCAGCAAGCAAGCTAACGTTGCAGCACCACGGAGAGCTCCAACTGATTAGATTGAAACTATTTGTGTCTTGGCAGTTTTTCAGACTCCACCTCTTTCATGCAAATTGAAAAACCTTAAAGGGCCAGAATACTGGCCTTGAGCCTACTACTTTATGAAGTCTTGTACCAAAGTCACGTTAGGTCCGTGTGTTGAAAGTATTAACGTGGGAATGTTTGCTTCTAAATGTACAAAGGTGCTCTTTTTTTTTTTTTTTTCAAGAGGCAACTGGACTCTCTGGATGAGAAGCAAAAAACATACATTAAAATATCACCTAAATATTTTATTCTAGCGGTTTTGGGATTTTGTCTTGTTTTTTTCTCATCTTGTCCAACAGCAGTGCTTTATTATTATTTTTCAGAATAAATTAAGTATGCTATGTAGTGATTTCTTCTCTGATTATCAGAGCAGTTCTGATACTCATCAGGCATACGTTACATTCTTACTCATTTATTTCCTGGGAAAAGAAAAAGTATGTTTGCCTGATGTGGAGAATTTTGCTCGGGGTTGGATTTAAGCTGTTGCTGTCTTTGGGCGGAAATAGTGGTTGGTGTTTCAGATAGGTGTTTCAGTGTCACCTTGCAAGTCTCTTCATTATAGATCATAGGGATGGCAGTCCAACAACCTATAGACAGTGCTATGTACATGGTTGTAAAGCCTACCTATGCTGTGGAAAACTGGGGAAGCCCCCTTTTTTTAAAAAAATCAAATACTTCTAGACCACAGTTTATCATTATGTACACATAGTAGCTTAAGGCTCCTTCCTTCTGTGCATGAGAAGGAACAGCATGTTAACAGTTTCATCCTACTTTGGAAGAAATTTATCACCCAAGGGTGCCATTTATTTATAGTTATTTATTTAGAATCTTCACAAGCTACAAATTCTATTAACAACTTTGGGTGGCTTCCAGGGTGTGGTAAAAACATTTAGAAAACCAACTTCAAAACAGAACTAATGCAAAACATAGAACTAAAACAATAACACTAAAAAGCCAATGACTTC